GACAGAGGCGCCGATGCTCCGCGAGGAGATGTTTCCACAACTGGAATACTTCGAATAAAGCTATTTTTCTCGTCATGTCTCTAACAACGCATTTAATCTGCCTACGTATGCGCACGTTTAAGGGCGAATATAATAAGCTTTTTGAACAATGACAATCTTTGTAAGTTGATCTTTCAGTGAATTCTACTATCAAATGGTCGGTTGATTTTTATTTAGACGATGGTAAAGTGAAGTTTAAATGAGAAAATTTTCTTAATTGCTGCTACGGCTCCCCTAACTACAACTTTCCCAATCTCACAATTGCTTGCTTCCGAAATATCGATTGCGAGGAGAACGGTAAATTATCATAATACAGCTTAGCACTTTACTCTTCTAAATAGCAACAGTAAATTTATCTTCGCAACTCAAAGACAAGTAGACTTTTATTGTATACCGTAACCCGCCTTAATTCACGAAAACTAAGTTTTTTAGCACGGAAAAATCCTATTCTAAGTTCTTATCTCTTACAAGAAATTTTTTAAAAACTCCAACGAGTCAACCTATCTTGCGCAACTCAAGCAGATAATGCAAGATAAGAGCGTATCCAACCTGAACCAAATTTTTCGATTAATGAGATGAGGTGGTTGAAGTCTGCATCAATGAACTTTGAATTAGCTCCACAAGCTGCCAGAAGAGTTTTCTCGCGCCCTGTTACAGCCGCACGAAGAGCCTTAATCATCTGTCAATAAACTGAAGTCTTCAAAAATGAATACAAGATAAATGACCTTGAAGGTTTGCTGAATGTGTTCGGCTACCGGAGTGTTTTTGTCATTTGAAGGTTTCACCTCGAGCGCTGGAATAAAATGGCTGGTATATTAGAGTGATTACTGTCATTGTAAGGTACAGAAGATACTTATATCTCAAAAGAACTCTAAACGGCAAAAGCAAATAGCCAAAAGTCTATCATCAACTCCTTGCCCCGCTTATTTATCGCCTAAGACGCAGAAATGCTTATAGTAGCAATTGTCATCTCATTTTGTAATGTTCACGACAAGGAGCTCATGTCAATCAACCATGATAAGATATCCAAAAATTTGCCAGTCTGACCAAACAAGAATAGTCAGTATATAAACTCACGTTTGGCTTGAATTACGAACCCATTCGTCTGAGGAGCTTTGCTGTCCAGCTGCGATGCTGTAGACGCAACTATAGCTTAAACTTATCAATAAAGTGTGGAATAAAAACAGCGGTGCAAATCGTACTAGAATTACACATACGTTTAGTTTCTTGTGTTGGTGGAGTCTTCACTACTTTTGATGGCGAGGGTGTTGACGAAGTGACAGCTCCTGCAGTCGCCTCGGTTGTCGATAACTTGCTCTTCTTCTTCTTGTTCTTATTTTTAGAAGAACCACTTGTTGGACGAACCCAGTCGTCTAACACTTCCGACGCTCCATCTGCTCAAAGAAAAAAATACTCAAAAAAGCTTTGAGGTAGAACGGGCAAATCAGCTGCATTTATATACTAACCAACGTCGCTTTTGATAATTTATGATCTATTAAAAACACAAATTACCTTTACTTCGATGAAAAAGAAGTTAAAAGTGAACAAAGGCGCAGTCACGTGAAATATTCCTCAGGATTGTTTCGCCGTTTCCATGTATGCTTTCAGAATACATAGAAACTTCAGCTTTCAGTGATAGCAATTAGAGGTCAGAAAAATGCGCGCTACAGAAAGATTAGGAGATCAAGCGTTATAGAAAGAAGTCCCACCATACCGAGAGAACCTGTGCATAATTCCCACTGCACGCTTTCAATTAGGTTGCGCTGCATAAGCCATGCACACCGCTGTACCTAGCAAACTATGATAAACGAAATTAAATTGAAAAATTGAAAATTGACTGAAAAAACTAATGCAGGAAAGAATACGTTGACATGTAAATAATTACTAATCTGCTTTATTCACAAGCAACATGCTTGAGAGTCGCATCAAACGAACTAGAAATTCAAGAACAACTTCTTTAAATATGCTTTAGATTCTTTGCTGGACAATGACTTCATGGCAAAGAAATATGTTTTTTTTTTCCAGTTCCGTTTCGTTTCTTCAGGCTTAAAGCGCATGGCATGGACACAGGCCAAAACGCATGTGTTGTGAACTAACTTCTATTCACTGTCCTTAACTAAGCTTAAATAACGCTACGTTCGCTCGTAAAAAGACAAATATAAGTGCCTTAAGCTATCTAATAGACGCCCGTAATACCTTCACAAAAAGCTTGAATGGTCCGCTCCACGTTCATGTCGAAGGAATGCAGAGCCAGAATGATGTCGTTGGTGCTAACGCCATGCACAACTTCGCGGACTTTGGCGATTTTTTCGTTAATAAGCTTCTTCTCCGCGACCTTCGACATTATCCTGAAATCCTTATATCTGCGTTCTGCAATAACTGCTGGCAATGAGTGGGCGAGAAAACAACTAATCAAAGAACTCAGAGCAGCTGAATACAGGCCAATAATTCGCCCAACCAATATTGATAGGACCCCCTTCTTTCTTGCATACCACCACTCTTCTGA